TTTATTATGAACGGAGTTTACGTATGTTTAAAAAAAAACTTCTTAAAGTATGAAAGTTTTCTAACAAATTTTAAAACAAAATATTTTAGATTAACGGGATTTCGAAAAAGTTTTTATCATTATTTTAAGCCAAGAAATGAAAGAAATAATTCTAGAAACTCAAAGGTTATACAATTGTTAAAAATTGTATAAAAACAAGAAATTGTCAATAGTCACGTACTTTTTTAGTAATGCTTTTTATTTCCATTAATTAGTTTACTGTTTGTTTGTTTCTTTAAAACTATATAGGTGTTCCGTTTTTATTGTTACAAATTTAAGCAGATGATAGGATATTAAATTTTAAGATAAAAGTTTCCTATAAACATGTATCGAAAAATATTAAATAAAGGAGCTACATCCCCTGAAAGGGGTGCATCTTTTAATAGATTTTTTCCAATATTTCAGCAGCCATTGTAGATAAAATTTTAAAATTTGGTATAACTGATAACCTTTATTTTTTAAGACATCCGTGATTAAAAATTTTGACAACTGATCTTTGAATTCGTTCAGGTGTTATCAGCTGTACCAACTTTTGTAATTTTATCAATTCTTCAATAGCGGAAAACCCCAATAAAAACGCAACTCTTTCAGGGGGTACGTAACATTTTTTGATACATGTTCATATGCATGGGAAACTTTTGTCTTAAAATTGAATATTCTATCACCTCTTTAAATTTGTAACAATAAAAACGGAACACTTGTATAATTTATCTTTAATTTTTAAATCAATTTAGAGCTCATTTATGGTCATCCGGAAAWATATGATTTTTTCTTATCTYGTCGCTGAAAGCGCTATTTATCCGACTTAATCCGTGCAACAGCAAGTAGATCCTTCCTCAGTTAGTAAATCCGCRAACTTTTCTTATAAATTCAWTATTTGCCGTTTTTGCGCGCTAATGCCGGTCCGCWMTGTCGCTAATTCTGTTTACCGTCTCCGTCAAGTGTGAGGAATTCCGTCAAACAGAAACTCTTCGGGAAAAAGGTTAATTAATCTTGCTCTCGCCGCGGCTGAATAATGTATGAGATGCAACAAGCTTCGGACAAAGTCGCTCACTTTTTTCCTCAAAATTTCTTGTCGGAATAACAACAACAACATTCCTCTTCCGTCGCGAGAAATTGCGTTTGAAATATTGGATTACTTTTCGTCGATACAATGAGCCTCGCAAATTTCCTCGACGTCTTGTAATCTCCGCCTGATGACATTATATCGACTAAATCCACCGTTCGCAACGCATAAACTGCCAACTTAATTTTCCACGATACATAAACTGGGGCTGCCTTTCTTTCATCCGGAATCGGGGGCGCAAAAAAGCAACCGACCTCGTTAAAAATCATTAAGAAAGTATTGATTTTCAATAGTAACACTTTAATTAATTCTCTAAAGCGTTGCGAAAATAATTGCCTCTATTGAAACTCAATCAAGTTGAAGTTTTCTTCATCAAAATTTAATTTCACAAGAAACTAGGATGCAAAAATGCGCCACAAACTCTTGAATGTTTATTTAATTTCTAAATTTGACGCTAGAAAACCCTAGAATCCAATTAGATTTTCATAAATAAAATTGTGTCGTGTTTACCTCTGTTGTTATTTTTATAATAACTGCATTATCTAGCCACGTTTCACTGCTGTGCACCAGTATTAAATTTTTAGTATTCTAGTCAATGCTGGCCTCAATTTAAATATGTTTGCGACACGTAAACTCGACATTTTTGCCGATTATTTTCTAGGGAATTTGTGCGCTGCATGCCGATTTCCTGTTTGGTTTTGTTATTTTATTTAGAAATTTTGGGCTATAAATGAATGATTTTTTCATCGAAAATTGCGTTCACAGTAAAATAATCGTCTTGGTTTCTTGATTAATGCGATCCTTTGTTGCTTCCTTAATAGCTTGGTGCTTATTTTAGATAGCAAAACGTTGCGTGTTGGGCTTAATCTGAGCCCAGGGCGTCCAATTTAAATGGACGCATCTGATTGGTCTGAATTACCCAATGAAAGATGGAAACAAAACTGAGACATTTCTTCAGTTTTTTTTCTCAAGAATTAGCGAAATGTTGAAAATTTTGGTTATTTTGTTTGTGATTGAGCGTCAAGAGTGTGTAATGTATTTATAATTTAATTTTACTGATGAGAAATTTCTTTGAGGAAGTTGTTTCATTACTCAACAGTGTTGAGAGACGACAATAGAGAGCACGTCGATGACAAGGCTCTTCTACTAATTATCGCGGGTCATAATAACTAGAAAGCAGCAAACATTTTACCTGTGCACACTAATTACACTTCGCGCGTCGTTGTGGAAGAGTCATACGATTCGGGAAGGTTAATTATATTTTATGTGTGATGAGCATGATTGCTCATTACATTGACACTGAGGGTTTCTGTCAACAGAACTTGCACCAAAATTTTATTTAAAGTTTAATAAATCATAAATTTTATGCAATATTTTTTTTTAAAAAGTTGCTATTTTGGTTTGTGATTCAATTTGATGGGTAAAATGATCACGCACAAAAATGCGTTTAGGAAACCAGAAAACCGGAAATAAATTCAGTACCGCTAACAGTTCTTGTTAATTTGTTAAAAAAAGTGAAGAATTTGAGAAAAATGCAAAATAATTATGAGTTAAAAAAAGTAAAAAAACAAAAAAAAGTTGAAAAGTGTCATTTTTTAAACGAAAGCAGAAAAAGAATTTTGGTTTTTTTTTTAAATAAATTACACATTTTTTTTTATTTCATGATACTTGCTTGTGTTCTCTACACTTTACAGAATAGCATTTTCAAAATTATTTGTTTTTAACATTACAAAATAAATACCTAACAAATAACGAAATTTGTGGCTAAAGATTAATTTTTTCATCAATATTTTGACTTTATAATTTTTTATAAAAACAAACTTCTACTCCTATAGTCGTTTCGTAAGCTAATTTTTTAAAAGTCCGGTTTACTTTTTGATTAATCTTTGACAAAAATGCGTCAAGGAAAATTTTAAACGAAACCACAAAAACGGGAAGAAATTTAGTACAACAGTTCTTAGAAATTGTCCAGAAAAATGGAAATAAATGAGAGAAATGCAAAATAATCATACGTTTGAAAGAAGGTAAAAACTAAAATAAATTCATGAAGAAATTGAAAAGTCTCAAATTTTAAAGCTGAGAAATGAAAAAAAATTGAACTCATTTTAAATACAAGTTGTGTCAGAATTCGTGCCCCAGAGAAAAAATTCAAGTAAGATAAGATGTCAGGAACATGGAAAAAAGGTAGTAAAATTTAATACTAATTTAATACTAATATATAATACTAATATATTAAAACCTAATAATAATAAAAAAATGAGAATTCAAAGAACCTGAAAAAAAATTAGAAAAGAAAATAAATAGAATGTATAAAAAACATTCTAAAAGAATGTAAAAATTGAATTAAAAAAGGAGAAAGAAATATAAAAATTAAGATAAAAATAAATTTTTACCAGAATAAAGTGATTTATAAAACTTATAAATAATTTAGAAAAAATTCAAAGACAAATTTAGCTTTTAGAGAATAATTTGAATGAGAATTTAAAAAAAAACCTACTTACAGGCTGTGTCAGAACTCGCGCCCTAGTGAAAATTTTTAAGTAAGATAACATTTTTTCCATGTTCCTGGTATCTTACAAAACTTTCTTCTCTGAGGCACGAGTTCTGGCTCAGCCTGTATATTACGCATTTGTTTTTGCTAAATAGATTTGACCTGATCTAATTTTATCCTTCACACTTTACAAAATAACATTTTTATGTAAATTTTTTCCGACATTTTAAAAGAAATAACAAATAACAAATAAAATTGGTGGCCATAGACCAATTTTCTCATTAAATTTTTAACTTGGTATTTTTTTTATAAAAAACAGAGTTGTGCACTCTTATAAAAATAATCGTTTTGAAAACTAAACTTAAAAAAGGATCACAATTCCCTTTTTTGACTCATTTTGATCAAACCTCAACACCATACTTAACAAAGATGGAAACGAGAATAAATTTAGTAACAATTTTTTGGAAAGAAAGTAAAAAAATCGAAAGAAAATGTAAAATAACCGTGGCTTCGAAAAACTGTAAAAAAATTCAGAAGAAAGTGGAAAAGTGTTGAACTAAAACTGAGAAACGAAGAAGTATTTTGAGCTTATTTTTTAAATAATTCGCAATTTTTTTTACTAAATTTTTTAATACCTGCTTGTATCCTCTACACTTTGCAGAATATTGTTTTCTATATAAATTTTTTCCAACATTTCAAAATAAATACCAAATAACAAAATTCCTGGCCATGGATCAATTTTTTCAACATTTTGTACATAAAAACAGACTCGTACTCGTATAACCGTTTTGTAAATTCATTTTTAAAAAAAGTTTCGATTTCAGGTTTTGACTCATTTTGATCAAACTTCAACAAAAATGGGTCTTGGAATATTTAGGAGTAAATTTAGTACCGCTAACAGTTTTTAAAAATTTGTCTAAGAACGTAAAAAATACAAAAGAATTATGAGTTAGAAGAAAAGTAAAAAAAATTAGAAAACTAAAGCTGAAGAAGATCTCTAACTC